ACCTGTAAAATGACCACTTGTATATCTAATCCTGAAGTGTACCCCACATCTTTAAAATAAAAATTTTAAAAAGTGTCAGTCTTTTAGATATTATCATCTTCACTGATCATCTTTTCTCTGGGTTAGACTGCCTGCATCAGTACTATATATCATGGCTTTTAGTACTTTCTATCTCTATCACAAATAACATCTCACCTGATGTGTACATTTAGGACAAATAAATCAAGTGCTAAACTTTTAGACAGGGCCATCTATGGGTTCTTCATTTCATCTTGAGAAGCATCCCCCTTGCCCTCCATGCTAAGATCAAGCACCAAGAAAGGCTAGTCTTCCATAATAACAGGAGAAAGGAAGATTGAGGAAACATTTCAGATTTGTCACCTCGTTATTAATAGCACCTTCAATTGCTGCAACCTAAAGTTTTGAACTACAAGTGAATCATGAGCTTGTAGAGGTGGAAGATGGATAAATCATTATTGATCATCATTCTCTTCATAAAACTGTATGATGAAGTTCAGTATAAAGGCTTCTCAAACTCCTTTGGTAAGTAAAGTAACAACTAATAAGAGCCAGAAACTGTAGAAAGTATTTTAACCCATGTGATCGTATTTAATTCTGTTACAACCCAACCCCTGTGAAGTGGATATTTGCAGATAAAAAAATTATGGGCAAGCCGGGCTCAGTGGCTCAGCCTGTATATGCTTTGGGAGGCTGAGGTGAGTGGATTGACTGAGCCTGCGGGTTCGAGACCCGCCTGGGCAACTTGGCGAGACCTCATCTCTACAATAAATCAAAAATTAGCCAGGCGTGGTAGTGCACGCCTGTAGTTCCAGCTACTTGGAAAAGGCTGTGGTGGCCAGGAGCGGCCATTGCACTCCAGTCTGGGCGACAGAGTGAGACTCCAACTCAAAGAATAAAAAAAAAATTATGGGCTTAAAAGATGAGAAATTGATAGTAGGATCATGATCTTCCAACACTCCAGTCCTATGCATTCCTTAGTATAGTGTCTTTCTGCATTTTGGTGGCATGATAACATAGAGCTGATATTATTTGTGGCACTGGAAGAAAAAAAATATAGGCTGGGAACTGGGGTCATTTTATGAGAAAGAAAGCCTTATTTGTTAAAAAGATGAGGATTGTAGTTCAGACTCTATTTCTTCAATGTTTCATTCTAAGATTAAAAAAAAACCCTAAAATTAAAAAATAATAATAATAATTTGCTCACACTTTAGAGATCATCCAGAAACTGAAAGGCTAATTTCTTTTCAGTGTGAATATGTTAATTCACTTCAATTACTGAGAAGTCTCATAGAAATCCACTGTTAAATTATGTTTCTTCTCTCAGCTGTGATGGTACCAACTATTTGCACAGTTACAGAAATCAGTGCTTTATTATAATTGCTTGCTTTGTATTGGCTTAATCAAAATAAAGCCATTTTCTAGACTAGAACATGAAGTACTTCACTTTTAATATCTGGAAACATAAACAGTCTTAAAGATTTTTAGAATGTTGTAAAAAGAGAGACAAAGGGGAGGTAGATGACAAACATAGACAGTAATATCCCAGGGAAAAGATAGCAGCTTAGCCAGATTTTAATGTGTTGTGCCTGTACATAACAGGTGTTCAATGAATATTTGCTGAATGGCAAAGAGTATAGAAAACAAAATTGAGTCAAGGGCATTCAGAATTCTCAAGAAGATTATTTGAAATTTGAATAGACATTTAGTATCTCATTGAGGATGAACGTTCACTAAGTATTCTTTCTTAAGTTAGGTAAGGTATGTGCACATACATCATCTAAATATACATTTCTTGAGGCTGTTTGCTCAATAATTATCTACTGATCACATGCTCCACAAAAAAGATTGGAGGTTATGAATCTAAAAAAAAAAAGACTGAACAGAGCCTGAAGGGGACAAAGATAGCGGGCAAGATGTAACATAAAAGCTGCCCATGGATCGCGTGTCTCTTACCACGTGGCTCCCGAGAGTGAGTGTATGTCATGTATGTCATGGGGGTTAGACATACTTAGGACCTCTTAATTGCTCACTATAACAGCAATAGAGGATTATTCACCTCTATCAGTCTCACTGTTAGAATTTTATAGAAACTATTAGTTATCTGGATCTCCCTCATCATCTTGCCTAGCTATATTTCTATCTGATTCCTGACATTTTAAGAATACAGTGCAAACCCTTTAGGTTAAGGTTTTGCTTATAATGCAAATACCCATTAGTAATTTATGGAGATATATAAAACAGTTTTGTAAGCCAACACTTATGTCTAAGTGTATACAAGAAATTTAAACTGTTTTTATTGAGCAAAGGAGAACAACATGAGGTTTCAGAATAGTGATTTTGAAGGGAAAAAGGGGAGAAAGACTAGAACACTCTTGCATGTTTCAACTAAGCAAACTTTTTCAACTTTTGCTGGAAATTTAGAAAGTATAGTTACTGGTGCGGAAGGTCTGGACATCAAGTTTTTGCTGTTTTACTGACAGAGGCTCGTGAGTTATCAATTTCTCTCTGGAGATTTCCCTGAAGGGTCACCAGTCACACTGGTGCTTCCTCTTCCTTCACATGTCTTAGCTTTAGTTTTTTAGTAAACCCAGGATCCTTGGGCCACACTTTCTCCTCAACTTTTTTCCCTAAGTCATTACCTGGGGGGTAAGAATTAAAGTTCTAGGGTAGATGCTAGTATTTGCTAAACCCTTTCCAGAAGGCCCATTGCCTTAGACCTTTCTGGAAGTTCAACACCAGCTTCTTTCTAGTTATTTGGGATTCATGGAGGAAGGTCTTTCACTGTAATGATGACCACAAGAGGCTGCTCACTGACCTGAAGTAGTCAAAATGCTCCACCAGCTAGGTTACTCTGCCTGTAGTTCATGGTATGGTCACAAGCTAGAATCTGTCATCATTTCCAAGTCCAGACTGTTATCTCAATAAAGTGACACTTAAAAATGACCTGTCTCCACCAAATATAGCAAGCTTTGAGCTGTGATGACTTAATCTTGGATATCGAAACTTTGAAACACCTTTGGGGCTGATGAAATGAAGGTCTCACACTTTCTTCCTTCATTAAATAAAATTAAATCATAAAAAAGATTTGTGAAGAAATAAGAAAAGGACACTTTCAGTTCATGACTAAAGGCTTTTGATACCACATTCTAGTTAGCAGCTGCTCCCAGGGCTGTCATTGTGCCTGCCCATGCTATTGCCTTGATATTTTCATAATCAGTTTTAGAATGTCAAAGACCTGGGCTTTTCTTTCCACTGCATTAAAAAAAAATGTCATTTTCTGCCATTTCACAATCAGTAATAATTAGGTTCCCTTCCCACAGATCATAGTTGGCATTTCTTTGAGCAAATGCTTTGTCTTAGGAAACTAATAGAAGAGTTTACATTCTGTGACAGTATTATTCGCAGACTCATTTGAAGAAAAGCATCAAATGGAGATGACTTTTATATTTTCAGGTGCATTTAATAAATTAGATTGACTGTTTACAAAATTGTATTATGGAATCCGTGGGAGTTATGGTAAGCTGTGCAATTTTTTTGGAAGTATTCAACTTAGATTTCTAAAAGCAGCTAACTTCTTTTGCTCCAAGGCAGAATTGTTCCTCATTAAGTACAAATGAGTTGATTCCTATATCCTCTTTTTCAGTTCCTGAAACTAGGGTCTGTGATTCTTAGACTTGGCTGCAACCTGGAATCCAGGTCACCTTTATAAAACCCTAATGCCCCGGTTCACAGACACTGAATTAAAACAGAAGAGAAAAAGTTGAAGAGCAATGATCTTTGGATTTGAAAACCAGGACAATTAGTCACTTGTGTTTGGTGTTTAACCAATTGCTCTCATTACCTTTTTTTTTTTTTTTTAAGTCTATTACTCTTATGATCTTTCTCTTTCGCTCTTTTTTTTTTTTTTGCCTTGAATTACTTAGATCAAATTTAACTGATGTCAAAGTTTACAAAATGTTTTAGATTATTGGATGTTAGAATTATCAGCAATCTTCCCCTTGGAATTTAGCATACTTTAAGGCCACATCAAATTCTGACATTCCTTCAAGACATCGTTTCTTTTGGAAGAACTTCAGTGCTCATCAGAATCACTTCACTTGAGTTGCTAAACATGTAAGTTGTAAATTGTTAAAAATGCATATTTCTGGGCCTCATTCCCAGAAACTGATAAAGTCCCAGAAGGGGGCTAGAAATCTGAATTGTGAATAAGTGTTCAGATGATTCTGTTTTATGCCCATTTGGCTTATGAGCACAGTTTGAGAAATATTGTTTTCTGTGTTTTTTAAAAATCTCCCTTGTCTAGAATAAGTTCCCACAATATATTAAGGTTGCTATGTATAACCTCAGCCTCTCTAGTGTATGTTCTCCTTAACTTGGGGATGCCTTAAGCTAGAATGCAAATTCCGAAAGGTTAGGAAATTTTGACTCTCACTCATTATGTCTCCAGAGCCTAGAACAGTGCCTGTCATGTTGCAGATGCTCAATAGATACTGATGAATGTTCTGAATGTAGAACTTTCCAGTGTACTTAGCATTTTCATGATTAGACAAACACGAATGAAAGGGAGAGCTTGAAATGAAGACACCATTTGTCACAAGAGGAGTGATAGTACATTAGGCGCCCAAAATATTTGAAATTTGCCTTTTTAGTTTAACTAAGACTGAAACCAGCTGTAAGTTGTCTTAAGTGCCCTCCAATTCCAAGGTCAAGTTCATAGGCAGTGGTGGGAAAAATGAGCTGCTTCAGTATAAACTCATGGCACCCTCTTTCATTTAGCACATACTTCTATTTTCACAAGGCAGGAAGGTTAGTAAAGTTGGGAACACCATAAAGTGAAACACATAGATTCAAGTAATTTGTTCACAAAAATTTCAGGATTCACACAAATGGGAACTCAGGGTATTCATTTGTGAATGCTGTTCAATACCCAAGTGACAATGGCAATTTGACATTTCCTGAACTTAATGGAGAGATTTCGTTAACCTTCAAGCTGATGAGGAGCTAATGTGATACTGTTGCTCTTGTATGATACAGCCTCTGTGGGAAGACACATTCTCTTTTCCACACCACTTGAAAATGGCCATTTAACTACCTGGCTAATTTAAAAAACAACCAGAATTAGGTCCCCTAAAGCACTATTGATAAAAGAAAAATGATAGAAATGTTGCTTAAGCTCAGTCACAGATAACAAATGGTACCTGTTTATAGAAAAACCACTATATGCAGAGAATGTTAACTGACTCTGGAAAAAAAAATGGAAGATTTTTGTCCTAAAAATTACATTATTTTAAATTAAGGTTCTTAGGCTAACACTAACTGAATGACTGAAACATCATTTGATATCTTTGTTGATAAAACTAGCAGAATGTTTATTTTCTCAGAAAAATAGTTATAAGCAAAGATAAGCATTCTCTTTGAGAATTGAAAATCAGGTAGGAAAAAACAAATATCAAGTCAGGGCATGATTTACATAATCAAGGAGTTAGGGAAACACCTCTTACCCTTGTACCTAATGGAGATTTATAAGAGATATTCACATAAAAATATATGAGACATATATTCACATAAAATTCCATGTCATGCTCTTATGCAGGAGTGGCTGTAGATGAAGTTGAAAAACAACCTGCCTTTCATTTTTCCATGAGCCTGGGAACGTGCTCCTGAGAATGCTCTTCTCTCTGCATAGCAGGGAGACTTTGGGACAGTGTATGGCACAGGAGAGGGGTCACATGTAATTATGCTCTTTCTCTCCACCCTTTACACTGAGCAGCTGGGTGATAAGGTTGGAGGAGATTTTATCAAATAGTGAACCACTCATCAAAGCTTGCAAACAAAAGTATGACAAGCATAGGCGGGTACTGAATTGGATGGGGCAGAATAGTCGGCAGGCATAGGCATGAAAGGAATGATTAATTACTGGTTTAAGAGAGGTTGAAGTGGGAGAGGGCATGGAAAATGAATTAGGCCTCTTTTTCAATTTTTCCAGTATCCAATCTCATTGAGTGGCGATACAGAGATGGAGAAGCTATTCTAATTACCTTGGGCATGAGCAAGAAGGTAAAAAACTTTTCATTTCAGGCTGCTAGATTTTGGCAATGAGACCTATAATGTAACTACACATTTAAAGAAATCCAGATTGTAACTTCAAGGTCATTTAAGTGGAGAGAGATACTTTTAAAATAAAGCACTCTTGAGAACCATTTTATAGAAAAAGCAGGGGTCAGGGACTAGGCTCAGTTATCACTCTCTAAGGAATATCTCATGTACCAGCCTCTTTGAGTCCCCATTTACTCATTAGTAAAAGAAGAACAATAATATTTATTTGGCTTTTTCACAAGGCTGTTGAGAAATAAGTACGATGAGGCACATGGAGGTACCTTGTGACAATAAGACACAAAAACTGCTTGGTGGCTGTGATAGGCAGGATCCTAAGACAACCCCCAAGATTTCCTGCTCTAATCCCTGGGACCATGAATAGGATGAGATATTATGCTCTTGTTATGCTACCTTACATGGTATAATCGATTCATCAGCTAATTTTGAGTTAATCAAAAGAGAGACTATCAGATGATTTTAATCTAATCATACGAACTCCTTAAAAGCAGAGTTTTCTCTGGCTTGGTGACAGAAGACATCAGAGATTGACAGAAAGAGAACATGAAGGGACCACATGCCAAAGAATATGAACAGCCTCTGAAAGCTGAGAGTGGCCCTTGGCTGACAGCCAGCAAGGAAACAGGGATCTCAGTCCTATATCAGCAAGTAACTGAATTATGACAACTTGAACAAGTTTGGATACTTATTCTTTGCTGGAACTTTCAGTAACAGCCCGGTTATGCCAACACCTTACTTTCTTTCTCGTAAGAACTGAGAAGAGATCACAGTCAAATTCCCCCAAATTTCTGATCTACAGAGCTGGTTGTTGTTTTAAGCTGGCAAATTTCTGGCAGTTTGTTATACAGTGATAGAAAGTGAATACAGAAACATTATTAGTTTGAAATCTTTTAAAAGAAGCGTACTCATAAATTATGGAAAATTAAGCTTGAAAACATTGGTAGACAGATTCATGCTTTAATCTTATTAGTACAGATTCCACCACAGTTAATGGTCTTCGAGATATGAAAGTAGAGTGATAGTTGCTGTTTAATTTTGATATTGGCCAAGAGTTTCTTCCCCAGCATTATATTTCTGGTAGGTGGAGAATGATAATGAAAAAGTACCCATAATGCAAACCTGTTTGGTAGGGAATTAAAAGTACCTTCTCTTGGATACTATACTAAGAGCGTGTTTTAAATATCAGTATGTCCTTACTTTGGCTTCTATTACACATCAGGTCCTTTGATTCTATTTTTATTTAAAGGAGTGATATGAAGAAATTTTCCCCAGAGCAAGAAAACACCCAAAATAACAAGACTCTAAAAAAGTTATTTTTCTCACCACTTCAAACTAGCTAAGACAAACTGAGGGTCAAAGAAATAGCAATCATGATTATATTTATGTATGTAGAAGATGGCAAAGTTCTATCCACAATTTGAAGTCAAGAAAAGTCAGGATCAAACAATTCAAATTCAAATGGATTAACTGGGCATTTACTGAGTTTCCAGTGGTGATAAAAACACTATTTATTGATATCTTACTCAAATATGGAACAAGGTACCTTTTCAATTCTGTTTTCCTGAGATTTCTTAAAGTAGATGGTAGGAATCCCAAGTTCAGAGGCAGCTATCCACTGCAGCGTGGCTCGAAGCTCGGCATCAGGACACTCTGGCTCCAGGTCAAAGTTGATTACCAGCAGGTTCCTCTGATGGCTGGCTGTTCCTACAGGCAGTCCAGATGCATGTGCTGAGCACAGACACAACCACAACCTTACTATGCTTTCCAAAGGGAAATACCAGGTAATTGTGTATCAAAAGTATGGGAATGTGGCTTACCCTCTATGTTTTCTGACTGTCCTTTAAGAATCTCCTTTTCTTCCACTAATTCACTTTGGGAGAAAACACAGTATATGGTTGATAATGTTTAGGAAGAGTAAGCTGTAAATGGAAGATGGGGTGATGGATCTTATTTATCTAAAAGCTTCTGAAGGCCATTCTAGATTTATTGTTTCCGTAGAGTGAAGTAATGCTATGAAAATACCCATGTGGCTTCACAAGGAATTACTGGGTCTGCAATGAATATCCCCTTCCAACAACAAAAACAGAAGGCCAGATAACCTAAATGATTTTAGTTAGGATAGTTGGTGTGGGAGACTCTGAGAAATCCTTTTCTTCAACCTACTTCCCATAAACCCCCACAGGTTTGAATAGTCAAGCAGAGATTTCATAAGTAACTAGTTCTGATTTGGGGATTTATCTTTCTCCTGCATTTTATTTATTATTAAGTGAATAACATTGGTCCATCTTGTCACATTTTTTTCCTATACTAAAATAGCAACGTAAGCTTGCATTTTAATATAGAAAATAGTTTTATATGTATATGGTTCTTTGATCTGAAATAAGAAAAAGACAACCAACAAACTGTAGAATTTGAATTGTATAGCAAAATACATCAATTAATTAAAAATTTTTTTCTTTTTATTAGGAGGAAGTGTAGCAGACTTGAGTGGCTTAGAACTAGAAAGTGGTAATGGAAGTGAGTAATTAGATATGATCATGTTTAATATTGGAAGTGTTTTCATAGGGTGTGTACTTATTACAGAATCTTAAACATAGTGGGAGGACTCAGTAAACACTTCCAAAATCAGAGCATATGGTCAACAGCTAAAAAGAAGTGACCATCTTGAGAAGTCTGTGTTTGTCCTATAGTTTCATCCTTCCTGTCTAGAAATTAGAGTACAGGGGCCCTTAAAAATGTGTTATTTCATAATAGAGATTCTCTCATAATCCCTGTTGTTGCTAAGATCAGGTTAATAAATTCCACTGTATTCCTGATGTTGAGAAAAAGAGAATACTTATTCTTTCATTAATACCTAATTATTTGTAGAAATGCCAATTTTTCAAGAGTCTTGATTTTCATCTAGACTTCTATGCAGGTGGCATAAGGGATATGTCAAATGGTAGTATAGTTTCTGCTACTGTGGAGTTGCAGAATGCAGAGTATGGGAAGTGGTGATCTTGACTTTCCCTGAATACAGACTTTTCCTGGGGTCATAAGTTCATACTGCACAGACAGATGAAAAACAGCTAAATAAATGTTTCCTGAAGGAGAAAAATACATTTACCCCAGCTAGTTTTCATTTGTTTTGTTTTTTTGGTTTCCTTTTACAAAAATAAAACAAGATAATGTGTATGTTCATCTCTGCTTGTGAATAATGGCTGTGTGACAAAGCCAAAGGACGCACTGTAACCTTCAATCACCGAGAAATACACCAGATTAAATGGTGAAATAAAAATGCTTTAGTTATAGGTAGTGATTGAGAAAATAGGTTAAGGTAGGCAACTTTAGTTATACTTATGATTTTTCTGAAATTTCTCCAAATCATAAGCTAAGTCACAATGGTCAAAAAACAGATTTCAATTCATTTAATTTTCCTGAGCAACAAATTCCTGCAGTAGTCCTGACCTCATGTTTCCCTTTCTTTTTGTGCTATATTTTATGAAGTAAATATTGTGCTTTTTGAAGTACTTTCCTTCCCCTTTGGTCTTTCAGAGAAGTCTTTGTATTGTGGGAGGCATAGTCAAGGGTAAGCATGGTACATCTTTATCAGGACAATTTTGATATTAGACACATTTAGTAGTAATAATCTCAGGTATTTACATGTAAAGAAGAAGCCATTTTCACTTGATTCTATTGAAGTGACTATATGCTATAGTGAAGACTATAAAATAGTCCTCTTTGATCAGTATGGTAGCATTTAAATGGATTTTTTAATCTATGTTTCCCAATAGATACAATGATATGTACTTCTGATTATAATGATACCCTTTATCTGCAATGATTATTTCATATGGGTTTATGGCCGTACCACTCTGAACATGTCCGATCTCGTCTGAACTGATTATCCCATAGGGGGCAGATTTGAAACCCTCAAGCAGTGGAGGTAGTTGGGGCCTATTCTAGGCCTGAATCCTTACTCCAACGACATGGAACCACAGCAGCACAGACATGATGAAATTAGTGGTTGGGGGCAACCTAAATGATCAAAATGGATTGCCAGATGGAGTTGGAGTAGTGGTCTCACAATCACTGCATCTCAGTGGCTACTTACTTAATCATGGGAGATGATGGCATGCTTTCCTGATAAATGTCCAGGTCCATAATGCCAAGACTGCTAGTGGCACTACTGTTGCCATTGCTGACAAAGCAAAAGTTTACATATTAATGCCCCTGGCCACACTGCTGACACTGATTGCTCCCTTGCTGTACAAGGTCCTTCCTCTGGACCCCAGAATAATATTGCTTTGTGTCTAAGACTCCTAAATTGATATCTATTTTCTGACTAAATTAGAGAAAAACATAACAAGACAGGCTCAGCCAATAATAATGAAGATGATGATAATAATTTTTAATTTCTTAAGTGGTATCACAACCAGTAGAACACACCAAGTAGGTAAAAGTCAGCATTTCTTCCTTATTTTAATCACAGTGAAGATATTTATTTATTTATTTACCAGCAAGAGATTTCTTGATGCTGGGTACATTTCCAGAGACAAAAAAAAACTTCTGAAAATGCTGGATGGGGGACATATTAGAATGCTTATCTGCCTGCTTCTTGGATTTTGATAGAAATCAGTGGACTCATGTTTGCCCTTTATAGCTCATGAGATTTTTCTCAGGACCAGTCCACAGGATATCATAGGATATACATCTGGTTTACTGTTTTCCTCTGGCACTTCAGAATTTGCAAGTGCAAAGTTGAGTAATGTTGAAGATTTAATCACTCAGTTATCTTACAATCTTCAAGAGAGAGCAATACCTGATACCTTTTGTATTGGAGAGAAGGAGAATTACATATTGCATCATTTTAGTAGGCTACACAATCAACATATGGTCTTGTCCTAGCTTGGAACTTACTCACTGAAACACAGTAAGACTTGAGCCAATTTTTAGGTCTGTCTGTGCTTGTAAAATGAAATGTATCCAATTTTACCAAACCCACTGAGTCTTCTCACACCTTCTCTAATTTCAGTGATGTTTCTTCTAAATAAGGTTTTCAAGGGGTGAGTGGTAGTGTGTCACATAGTGAGATAGTTTTCCCTCAAAAATACCATGAGTAACCAGCAAGACTTCCTCAATGCAAAATTTTGTGCCCTCCCAGGGCACAGAATACATTCACATATTGAAACCTGATGACTCAAAATTGCACTGGAGATAATTAACCCTATAAACTTCTGCAGTTAAGTCCAAAGATTTAAGTTCTCTTTGCTTTTTGTCTCTATCTTGGAATGTTTCTCACCTGTTTTTGAAATTTTAGAAAAATTGTTTAACACTGTAAAACATTCTAAACTCTAAATAGATGAAACTGTCAGAGATAAAACTTTCAAAGAGTGATACATAGACACAGATGCTTCTAAATCCCATTTGCCAATTGGGAGGTCTGTGGGCTTGTTGGTCCATTATCAAATAAGGCTTTGGACAGAAATACAGAGATTCTTTTAGAGGTTCCACTTCACAGAGGAATAGTTTTTAGTCCATCTTCTGATTGACTCTAGCCCTTCCAAATCCTATCTCTAAGGTCCTCTCTAGCTTTTCCAGAGGAACAATACAGAGGGCAGGGGAGATAAGGGGAGGAACAGTCAGGCCAAACAATACAACAGTGTGGAAACACTTGCCTCATGTAAACCCAGCCTGTGTTGCATCTGAAATACAAATGAACCAGAGAGAAAGTATCAAACATACCAGGTGCAATATAGTAGCTCTCCATTTAAAAAATTCACAGTTGTAATCCTTGAATGTACTAACTGGGGCTTACTAGGAAGGGGACACAGATAACTCTTAACCTTGGCCAAGGTAATTTAAGCTATAAGTGGATTATTAAGATACCTCTCAGCACATCATGACAGGCAGGGACCTAGGCTAGTGGGAGTTGTTTTTTTTTCTCTCTTTCTCTCCCTCTCTGTCTCTATTAGTTTGCAGAGAACCATTTGAATGCATTTTTGGAATCTGCGTTGAGACCAATTTCCCTGGGATGTCAGGTGAAGAATAGGTACCTCATAGATCTCTCACTGAGCTGCAGAAAGCTACTTGTGTCATCTGGGTTATCTTCCTCATTGGCGAGCTGGGACCAGCTGCCTGTGCTCTCCTCACTGCTGCTGGGAGGGTTGGGGAACTCATCGGGGGCTCTGGCTTCTGTGGAGACTTCATCCCCTGGGGCATCTTTGGCGTCAAGGCTGTCACTGTTTTACCAAGAGAGGAGGCAAAAAACAGAACTTTTTTTAGAGGCCACTCTGTTAGACCTGGATAAGCATGTTGTCACTGGACACAGGTGGAGTCTTTCTTTTAGGCTGATGGTACCCTATGTCCCATTTGCCTTTTAGGAATTACCGTCCAACAGCTAGCTTTCTATTCTTTTACTCTTCTAAGTACTCCCTTCATTCATTTGAAAAACAGGTTGAAGAGCCTGGTCCGCATGCATATGAATTTTTTAGGGACAATGGTATTTAAAAGGAAGATACACAAAGCATTTTCCCAAGAGATTATGATTCTGTGGTTCTGGAGGGAGCCCCAGAAATCTGCATTTTAATCAACCACCCTTGGTGATTCTAATGCAACCCTCCCAGTTCAGTGCTTTACCAAGTCATTTCGCCTGCAAATGCCTCTGTATTTTGCACTTGGAACCACCTTTTACTCCATTCCCTCCTGCTGAAATCCCTGATTTATATCAGCACAGCTTTTCTGAACATCTCCAATCTGTCTCATTAACATCTCAAAATCAATGTATTTAAAATGAATTCTGATTGCCCTTCCATCCTCATCCTGTATTTCTTATTTCCATTGACCTTTCTGAGTGTCTGGGCTTAAAATTTTGCAGTCTTCTGATTTCTCCTTTTGTCTTGTACATTTAATCAGTTTCTATGTCTTGTAGTTCCATTTATAAATTATCTCTCACATACTTACATCATTGAGATTATGTCTCTAATTATGAAACTAGACACTTTTTTAACAATAGCATATTCATCTGAAGAATGTCCTATGCATGCTAGGAATTACCCTTAGTCAAGGAATTGCCTTGCCAAGGTTATACTCTTTTCCAGTGAGTGTTCTAATTACCGGCTAATAAAGAGATACAAAAATCTACTCCTTGCCTCCATTTGCATGACACCTGACAGACCATCTCATCTTCAGGGCTTTCCACAGTATGTGTTGAAGCCTCAGTTCCAAACACATTTGGGGAGGACTTCTTCCTTTAGCCAATCTTGTCTTTCCCACCTCTTTACACATGTACATGCCCATTATCTTTGGAAAGCACTCCCTAACAAATTATCTATCTGCAACTCTCCCTCTCAGAGTCTGTTTCCAGGGACTACACATAAGTCACTTGGCCTCTTTTGTTGGGAGCCAGCCTTGGAGGTTCGCCTGATTGACAAAGTCCAGGTATGCTGAGGACCCCCAGCTGCAAAGCAAGTCCGGGCAGCTGAGGCCCTTCTGTCTTCCACCTTTGCTGTTTGGTACAGTCAAAGAATTCTGTGCAGTTGTGGAAGAAGAAAATGACATGTTTATGTGAAGTACTTACAGCTAACCTGGAAATGTCATGGTTCATTTTTCCATTTCCCACTATGCCGCTTGGCCTTTTCTAACATATGCAAGGCTTAAACTCTGAAGCACATCAAGAATGCTTTCTTTCACTTGGTTATAAGTTACTAGATATTGCTTGAGTAAAAAATGATATAAGTATATTCACTCCTTATTTGATTTAGAATGATGTAGTTTAGTGTTTAGATATAAGGATTTTAAAAAGCACAAGTTTATATTAAGTTCATTATGAATTCATTATAAGTTCTAACACTTATCTAGGAGTTATGTAGGTGATTTATTACACTGTTTTCACAGATTTAGGATGAAGATTAATTGTTAAGGTTTTTACTTAATTCAATAGTTAAAATTCTAAGTTAATGTTTGTAGAGTGGGTTTTCATTGAATTCATAATATACTAATTGGATACTTTTATGATAAATTAACTAAAGACAGAAAGCAACTTTGGGGGCCTGGGAAACATTGCTAAAAGCTGCTTTTGAGTTTTCTTTAGAAATAAACACTGCAGGATAAGAGAAAAGTAACGAAGACACCTGGACAAGAGAGGTGATTACAAAGCTCTGAAGGTCACAGAAGCCCCAGAAGGAAAACTACTGCAACATGAAGAAATGTGCACTTGGAAACTTTCTTGAGACATTTTAAGGACTGTAATTCGGGACTTTGGACTAAAACTATCATTTTTGGCTTTATAAGTAAGACTCATTGTCTGAATGTTTATAGGGTACTTGGCTTGTTTGTTGCTAAGACCACTAGATGGTGATAACTTTTAAAGGATATGTACATGAAAGAATTTTCTTTGTCTTGCCCCTTTACAAATGGTATAAAAGCTTTCCGTTAGCCAACATTAAATGGCATCTGTTCAGGAAGCAGGTGTCCAAGTATATTATTTTCGTTTTTTGCTTATTTGTCTCTCCTTCAGGAAACCCCAGACCCAGCAGGGGCTAGACCCTTTCATTTAAATAGCATATGGACTGCAGAAAGGTCTATGCAATTTCCCTCAATCTTAACATTAGTGCTGATATCATTTCTCTGAGAATGGTTATACTTTAACAATTAAAAAAATAGTTCTGATACAGGGAGTTGAGTTTCAAATGCATACTTTTAGAGTGAGCTGTAAAATCTCCTTTTTGGTATGTGAGCTTGTTACCTAAGAAATTTTACAAAAGGCATCAAAAAATCCTTGCTCCTAACATTCACTCTCACAGAATTCTGGGTAGATATGGCATTGGGGTGTGGTTGTTTCTAGCATGCTCTGCTGCTAACACTTCAACACTTTGTGACCAAAGGTCCTTGCTTGATTTTTCTTCCTAAAATATTGTGATTCCACTCCCCACCCCTGCAGCTTGAGTGTGTAGGAAAAATGAGAATGGTTGTAGCCAGAAACAGAATTTATTTAAATTCAAATTTTAAAAAAGTTCATGATGACAAATAGAAACAATACATATAGTACCAAAACTGTAAATAAGGCAAGGGCTGGACACAAAGGAGAGGGCTCCAAAACCATTTGTTTGCTCACTCTCATTTCTAAAGAGATTAGTTCTCACTATGTTGCCTAGGCTGGTCATAAACTCCTGGGTTCAAGCAATCTTCTCACCTCAGACTCCCAAAGTGCTGGGATTACAAATGTGAGCCACTGTGTGCAGCATTATTTGCCTGGTTAAAATGGAATTTCCTGAATTAATTCATTACTAAATTAGAAACTTTTGTTATTAGAAAAAAATCATTCCAGGATATTTCTTACTAAAAAAGTTAAATCTCAGTGATTGGCATTGAACAACCCGATTCAAAAAGGAGTCTGTTAGTGTATTTTACTTTATCTCAATTTCATGCTCTACTTAAAGGAAATCTTATGTTTCATGTCAAATAACTGGGAATGCAGAATGAATAATCATTATCCAAAACACCAGTTTTCATTTTCTTTTGAGAGAAATTTATAGTTCTGCTCATTTATTTATGAATAATGCACAAACATGTTATGAAAATGTATGCATATGGCCCCTCTTCTTCCAATCTTATACTTCATATACAGAAATTTAGAAATTTATGTCAAATTCAATTGCAGAATCTCTGAGTTGGCAGAGACTTCAGAGATCATCTAGTCTATTATCATTAGGTGTTACATGTTCTATGGGTCTCGAGAAACGTATAATGACATGTATCCACCATTATAGTATCATACAGATTGCTTCACTGCCCTAAAATCTTCATTTCTGGTAACCACCAACATTTTATTGTCTCCATAGTTTTGTCTTTTCTGAGAATTTCATATACTTGAAATAATACAGCATGCAGCCTCTTAACATTGGCAGTACTTAATCATATGCATTCAAGATTCCTCCATGTCTTTCCACAGCATAACAGCTCTTTTTTTTCTTTCAGTGCTGAATAAAATTCTATTGTTTGGATGTACAGTTTATTTATCTACTTACCTACTGAGGAATATTCGGGCTGCTTCTAAGTTTTGCAATTATATTTAAAAATAAAGCTGTGACAAACATCTGTGTGCAGGTGTTTGTGTGGACATAAGTTTTCAACTTATTTTGGTTGTTACCAAGGAGCATAATTCCTAGGTTACATGGTAAGAGTATAGTTTTGTCAAAAATTGTAAAACTCTCTTCCAAAGTGGCTGCTCCATTTTGAATTCCCACCAGCATTGAAAAGGAGTTCCTGGTGTTGGACATCTGGCAAGATGGCGATGGGGCAACCCAGTCTATGAAACCCTCTGCAAACGAGAACGCAGAGGGTCTCTGGCTCTCTCCCCAGGGGCTGCAGACCCCAACGTTGGCAGCCTGCTCTTCACAGGGAGCTCAGCTGTTGCCACTGCTGAGGCATCGCAGCAGTCTGGACAGTCACTGCAGCCACAGACACAGCAGCTGCTGGAGCTGCTGCAGCCTCCATGGCGGCCATAGTGCATCGCGCCACCCATGCCTGAGGCGATCCACGACTTCAGTCCTTGAAGCCCCTGCAGGCGAGATCTGCTGGGAACGCTGCCACCTCTGCTGCCACCTTGATGTGCTGCTGGCTGTGGGTCTCCTCCTGTGTGCCCTGAGGCAGGCTTCCATCTGCCAGCTCCTGTCCAGCCCCACCCCCTCTGGGGCGAGCAGCTGAGATAGCACCACCTGCTGGCGATTCAAGGTAACAACACCAAAATGGGAGAAACAAGCTTGAAAAAGAGACACAGGCCAGATTTGAGTGGTGAATGGATGGTGATCTGAACTGTCCTTCACAGCAGGCCAGGGGCAACTGACCCTAACTACAAACTAATTTGCCAGCTTGAAAAGAAAGTTAGAAGTCAGAGCTGAAAGGACACTGGACTTAAACAAAAAGTCTCAGAATGTGCTCGATTGGTTTTGTTAGTTTAATGACTTGATTCTATTCCTATTGTTTTGTTCCCTGTTTTCCTCCTCCTTTTCTTCTCTTTTATCCTCTCTGTAAGCCATATCTTTGTATAGAGGAACAGCACGCCAATAAGGTAGTTGGTCAGCTTGTATGTTAGCATCATTATATGTTTTTTTTTTTTCTGTATGGGAGCTGGTTAGTCTGTAGCCGTGGTCTATTGTTTTTATCTGTTTCAATTTAGGTCTCTCCATTTGTTAATATACTCATCTGTTTCCCCCCTTACTCGTCTCTCTGTCCACCACCC